AGGACAGGGGCCAGTCTTATCTAAACACTGTATCTCTCCCATTGCCCAGCACAGCACTTTATGTATTTGTTGAATCTGAATTGGAATTGGAAATTACTGACAAAAAAAGTTCCGTAGTTCCTAGTAAGAGTAACTCAGACGTCAGAGAAAGCGAGAGAAAAGAACTTAGAAAAGAAAAAAATATTTAATGTCTCTAGCATAGTGCTCAGCCCATAAGTTTGTAACTTTGTAAGTTCTTGTGTGATAGAATTGAACCAGTATTCAATATTTGGTGAATATGCCACTTTTAGCATAAATTTGGGGTTTGGATCAGCATTGACTGTTCTTTGACTTCATTGATTTTTCCATATTATACAGGAGAGTAACATTGCATTAATTAGAACCCCATACATTTGTAATTCATGATAATTTGACCATTACTGTCCTGGAGTTTACTTTGGCATTATCTACATACAAAAGGTTTTCTAAGCAAATGGAAATGAAAATGAAAATGTCAAAGATCCACATATGGAAACCTGTCCATTTACAAATTAGCTGATGGAATCTGCCGGAAGAGCGAGAAAAGCTTGCCGGAGAGCTCAAAAAGCAACACATTCCATTTTACAACAAAGCTTTTTCACTAAGTTAAAAAAGTCAGTCAACTAACCTACTCTGTGCCAGGCACTGTGCTAAGTACTGGAGATACAAAAAAAGGTAAAAGATGGTCTCCGCCCTTAAAGAGCTCATAGTCTAAAGGGGGAGACACAACCGTACAAACATGCTGTAGATAGGATAAAATGTGGATAATCTCAGAGGGAAGGTATTAAGATTAAGGAGGCCTGGGAAAAGCATTTTGCAGAAGGTGGGACTTTGAGGTAATGCATGAAGAATGATGAAATTTATAAAAAAAAAGAATTCATTTTTAATGAGTAAGATTCAGAGAATATCCAATCTTAGAATCCTAGGATTACAAGATTTAGAGCAGGGAAAGACTAGAGACTGTCTAATGTAGATCCTGCTTCCTTTTTCCCTCTGGATTTTCAAGAAACCTCTCTCTTCTGTTTCTCCTCCTACCTGTCTGAGCACTCCTCAGTGGCTGAACCATCATCCATATTCCACCCTCTTTGCTTGTGGGTGCCCCTGGGCTCTGTCTTGGGCTGTCTTTTCTCCCTTCACACTTTTGCCTGGTGATCTCATCAGGTCCTTATGGGTTCAGTTATCACCCCTGTTCAGATGACTTCCCAGTCCACATGCTCAGGCCTCACCTCTCTCCTGAGTTGTAGTCCACATTACCACATTACTATGATTTTATGATCCTACTTGATGCATATATTCTCATTTAATTTCTGAACGTGAGCCATAAAATACAAATTACAGAAAATATTATGCTATTTAGAATAAAAAAGTTTTAAAGTATTTTAACAGTATTCATTTAACAGTATACAATTAATTATATTTTATAATGTAATATGTAATGCCTGCTGGACATTGTCCACCTGCTTATCCCATTGGTACTTCAAAGTCAACATGTCCAAAACAGAAATCAAACCTAGCTATCTCTCTAATTTCCCGCTTTTTGTCTGGCAAACCACAAGCCTTCTAATTCTCTCATTTAGAAGCCTCAGGCATCCTTGACTCTTCCCTTTCCCTAATCCTCCATATTCAACCATTGTTAGGTCCTGTGGAATTTACATCTTTCCCATACGTTTCCCTTTTCTCCATGCGTGCTTCCACCACTTAATTTCAGATCCTCACTCACTTTTTCCTAGAGTGTTGCTATAGACTTCTAAAAGGTCTCCCTGCCTCCAGCATCCCTGTCTCTAATTCCCACTCCATACAGTTGTTGAGTTGGTGTTCCCAGAGTACAAGCCTGAGGCTGTCATTCCCCTACTTAGGAGAAAGAACTTCTATGGCTCTAAGACAGAAAGAAAAGACAAATTCTTCAATTGAGCATTTAAAACCCTTGACAATCTGACTCCAGCCTATATTTGCAAACTTATTCTACTTAACTTCCTCTAAAGTGACACTTTCCAGCCAAATTGGCCCACCTGCCCTCCTTTTCCTCCAAATCTCTTCTGTGTCTTTGCACGTGCTGACCCCACAGGCCTGGAATGCTCTTCCTCCTCACCTCAGCCTCTTGGAATCCCTAGCGCCCTTCAAAATTCAGCTCCAACACCATCTCCTACATGAGGTTTTTCCTCATTCCATTAGTGGTTAGTGTTTCCTCTCCCATTACTTCATATTCGCTTGTCTGTGTTCCATGCTGGCTCACTCTCAGTGGAATGCAAGCTCTTGGAGGGCAGGGGAGATTTTGTTTCTGCCTTTATGTCCTCAGAGCCTGACACATAGTAGGCACCTAATAAATGTTTGTTGAAGTGTTTTAAATTTAGTTCCTTTTTCTCTTAAGGTCTGAATGAAACTATGATTTTATGATCCTACCTGACGCATATATTCTCATTTAATTTCTGAACATGGACCATAAAATACAAATTACAGAAATATTATACTACTTAGAATAAGAAAGTTTTAAAGTATTTTAACAGTATTCATTTAACAGTATACAATTATATTTTATAATGCAATATGTAATATATTTCAACAGCATGCAATTAATTAACTAACTACTAAATGAAAATTAACTACCAATAGGACCTCTATTTGGTCATACTTCATTATGGTTTAGTCTGACTTTTATTTTTAAAAAGCTGTCTTGTAATCTAGATTCTCACTAATTCAGACTAGTCTTCTCCACTAACTGGTTTGAATTGGGAATTCAAATAATATGAATCCCATAGCAGGTTTTCAGATACTTTTGAGGTTTTATATTATTTGGCTAGTGCTTTGGTTTATTTTGTTCTTTACAGAATGAAACCAAAAGAGCCAGTCACTGGGAGAAAAGAAACCTTTATTCCCAATAACTAGTGAATGGAATATAATGAAAATTTCAGGAAAAATTGTGATGGTTTTAGTAATCTCATTCTATTTTCAGTTTCCAAAGATTTGGATCCTCAAGGTAACTACGTTTGTGCTAATGTTAAGTTTCTATATTCTTCTGGTCCACCAAAAATGTAACTCCTTCTGGGTCCATCTTATGACTTCCACTTGACTCTTATCTCACAACACCAAGCCACGACACCTGGATCGCTCTCCTTCCTTATCTCTACCTCAAAGCTTCCCAGGCTTCCTTCAAATATCTGTAGAAGTCCTACCCTCTGCAAGAAGCCTTTCCCAGTCTTCCTTAATCTTAGCATTTTCCTTCAGAGACTACCCTTAATTTATACACAAACACACACACACACACACATCTTGTTTGCATGTTGTTTCCCCATTACATTGTGAGATCCTTGAGAGCAGACTGTTGCTTGCCCTTTTTTTTTTGGATCCTCAGTGCTTAGCACAATGCCTGGCCCTTAGTAGGTGCTTAATAAATGCCAGTTGACTGACTCTGACTTGTAGTGCTTAATTTGCTCCTAGGGATACTTTAATTACTTTTGGAAGCAGCATTAACTCAGGCTGACGGCTTTGGAATATTCTGGCTAATATCTTGGCAATCTCTAAATTACTATTCCTTAACTACAAATAATAATCCTCCATCACTTTAGTACTAACCAAGTATTCCTCTAAATTAAAGTAAAATTTTAAAGGAGATGTTTTGATTTAGATATTTTCAGAGTGGATAGGGAGTAAGAAGACTAAGGTTCAAATTCCACCCATAAACTTGCTGTGTGATCCTGGGCATCACTTAACCTCTCTGGGCTTCAGTTTCCTCATTTATAAAATGAGAGGGTTGGATTTGATAGCTTCTATGGACCCTTCCAGCTCTAAATTTATGGTCCTATGACATTCTTGCAAATGTTTTGTCAGAATAGTCCTCACAAGGGGGCAGCTAGGTGGCACAGTGGAGAGAGCTCCAGCTTTGGAGTCAAGAGGACCTGAGGTCAAATCCGGGCCTCAGACACTTGATGCTTACTAGCTGTGTGACCCTGGGCAAGTCACTTAACCCTGAATGCCTCACCAAAAAGAAAAAAAAGAATAGTCTTTATAGGTATAGAAAAAAAATGGGTCTTCAAGGTTTCTTGACCTTAAATATAAGATAATAAGAGATGGCATATAGAGTCAGACCTACGATCTGTCCAGGCTAGTTTCTCTCTCTGTGTCTCTGTCTGCCTGTCTCTCCCTCCAAAGGGGGCATGTTGTAGGAGGGTGTAGTGATCTTCTCTGGTGAAACTTTCAAGAGGTGAGCTCTCAAATGGCTTGGTTTTCTTAACTTATTTTCAAGTTTTTCAATGGATTTATTTAAACTACATTCTAAGGATTTTTACCTTTTTAGTTTGTACTTAATTTAATTAGATTTAATCTAAAAAACTCCTATTTGGCAGATATAATAAAATTAAAAAATTACCAGTTTTCACAGCGTTTAGGGCATTAACTGGAGCTTTGTCCCAGGGTGCTGACATCCAGGTGTAGATGGTGAGTAGGGGCACACTTTCTTCCTGGGTCAGTGGACAAGGGAGGAGGGAAGGGGGTAGGCCAATATAGTGGTGCCATTTTCCTGGGGGAAAGAAGTATACTGCCTCCCTCAATTTTCCCCTGCTCCAAAGTTCCTATTGCTATCCTGCCCCTCTCAGGACCCCTTACAGCCATACTAGTAACGTGCATCTTATAGGGGCAAACCCTATGTACCACCTGGCCTGAGGGCTCAGGCCACAGTCCACATGCTTGGAACCAGGTGTGGAATCAGTAGAGATTGGGGCACATGCCAGACGTGGAGTATACTAGGGTCTCTGCTTCCTCTGTTCTTCCTTTTCCTCCATGCTCCAAAAAGCCCTCAATTGGATTTACTCTAGAAACTGGAATTTCCAATTTGGTTCTAGCACTTTCCTTCATGTGATAATTTTAGCACTAACCAATTACCATTATATCAAGGGAAACACATTTATGCCATTTAAAAAATGGTACTGATAGTAGATATTCCTAGTTAAATAGTGATGTCACCCAATGGGAAAAAAAAAAGAAGTCACCTGGATGTTTTGATTGAGCTTTTTGACAATGCTAGTGATAGTCTGGATGTGGTTTTCCAGCAGCTGCCTGGCCATTGACTCCTCCTTTTGGAATCCATGGCTCCCTTGAAGACAAGATGAGATCTCCTCCTTAATGCGAAAGGCCTGTTCAAGAAGAACAGCCATGGTTCTCTCCTGGCTAGCTAGTCGTTCTTCTATGGAATATCTTGGATTCCATGGAATGGCAGGAAGAAAAGGCTGGTCCCTGGACAGAGGAGGAAAAAAATAGAAATCAAGACTTTATATTGATAAATTTGAGGAAGAAGAAATCAAATTGGAATTCTTGTTGCCTGTTCCTTTCTCCTTTCCACCAGTACCTGTCAACTCATAGAATTAGCAGACCTCAACAAAACAAAGAAGATGAGTGTTTTTTTTTAAGAACCACTGTGGTCAGAATCTTGATTTTATGTTCCTTCTAAAAAGCAGGTCTATCTCACTGTCTTAATATCATATCATGCATATTTAATGTTTCCCACATAAACAAATGGTATGTTACAATGTAGCAGTTTTGTGCTATAAGGTTTGGGGAGGAAATCCATTAGGGAAGAAATCAGAATTATTCTTCCTAAAATTTTTTTCTCTACTACACAGAACATCCAACCACAACCGTGTTACTAAGTACATGATGAATCCAGGGGTGTGCTGGAGCCAGCTTGTACCAATTCTGAGAACCAATTTTCAAACTTTCAGTGTGCTCATTTACACCTTGGAAATAGACAAGTACTACAAATCAAGGCTTGATTTATTGTTTTGTTGATTGTCTAGACTTAAAGTGATGGAGCAAAATGTTAATAATGCAAATTAAACCTAATAGTGTATTGCACATTTTTAGAAAGCCAGTTGTCAAATATTTGCCAGCATACCCCTATGTATAAACAGATATACGATAAATATAAAAATATACTTTAACCTAGATTGAGATATAGGAGTTTGGGAGTCAAGCTTGTCTATTCACAAATGTGGAGGTGGCTATGTGTAAAGTCTTAAAGTAACTCAAAATCAAATTAACAATCTTAGGCAGAAGATCAAGAGGAACCTGTACCTCCAACTGCTGGATTGTTTTGTAATTATATCTTACATGTGTTTCAATCAATCAGCAAGCATTTATTAAGTGTGTACCATGTGCCAGGCACTGTAGATGAAAAAACAAAATGAAATAATCCTTGCCCTCAAGGAGCTTATGTTTTGTAGAGGGAGACAAGTACGAAAAATATACATAAAATCAATATAAGGTAATGGGGAGGGGGTGTGGAAGGGAGGAATAGCACCTAGGGAGATTAGGAAAGATTTCCTATAGGCAGTGGTGTTTGAGTGGTGCTTTGAAGGGAATTAGAGTTTCTAAGAGATTCAAGAAATTATATTAAAGGAATGGTTAGAAAGACACTTTGGTCATAGAGAAAAAAGCTTATTTTGATGACTGCCTGTCATAATTTATCGGTATACAATTGTCTTGTTTTCCCTTGTTCTCATCTTTCTCCTAGAAAAAAAATAAAATCCAAACAAACCTTGGAGATCATGAGATTTATTAGCTAGAAATGACCTTAGGAGTTGTCTAGTCCAAATCCCTTATTTTATAGATGTGGAAACTTTTTAAAACTCCTTCCTGCTAGGACTAGTTTAACATTTGTGCTTAAGTCCTGTAGATAATAATGACAAACTTCTCTCATAGCATCACTGGAACAAAAACTTTTTTTTTCCCCTTGGTTTTGTTTTTTGAGACTGGCTCTCCTCATCTCTCCTAGGCTGAAAGTTCAGTGGCCCCACATGAGACTAATCCCACTGCTGTTCAATATGGAAGCTTTGACCTGTTTCATTTCCAGCCTGGGCCAGTGTGTCCCCTGTGGCCAGTGCTCCCAGGGGCTCCCCATATTAGTTCGGGATTTAATGCCAACAACCAACTGGCTTTATAAAGCTCTGTGTGACTCAGAACTCCTTAAGTGTATGCTAGCCTCTGCCTTCTCCCCTCTTCCAGCAGGACTATGGGTGTGCACCACCAATCCTGGCTGTTTTTTTTTTTTCTTTCTTTTAAAAACACTGGAGAGAATACTTGAAGAGATCAGTGAGGATCTTCAAAAAATTTATTTTCTTCCTGGTTTTTTATGTCAAGAGACACTCATAGAACAAAATAGGCTCTTTGTTTCTTTCTTCCTGCTTCATGTTTGTTTTCCTCTGTTTGTGATGTCTGTTGTCATCAGGCACAAGTACCCCTCTAATCAGCAACCAATGTATCTTGGACTGGTTTAAGAAGCTTAGTAGATGGGTCAGCCTTTATTAGTCTTAGTGGCAGTGGTTGCTTACAACATTTATCCTAAATGAAAGATAAAGCTTTCACTGCATGAAGGTCATTGGAAACTGTAGCCAGAAGAGAGAATGGCTCTCTATAAACACGTTGCCATCACTGATTTCAGAGGACAATAAGGAGAGAAGGTGTGTTGCTTTAATAAATTATCTCCATAACAACATAACAAGCCATATTTATACAGCACTTCAATACTCACAAAGCTCTTTCCTCATAAAGTAAGCAGAGCATTTTACAGATAAGGAAACTGCAACTCAGAGAGATTAAATGATTTACATATGGTGACACATATAAGTCAACTTTGGCTCTGGGTTGGAATCCAGAACTCCTGATAGGGAGTCCAGGGATCTTAGCATTAAATATACTCGCAGGTTCCCCACACCACAGAAAGTCTTTAACACGTCTAAACAAGGCTATTTTTGCCTTAGGAATCATTTTGATCCTGTCCACCTGCAAGACAGTTGTCTAAGAGGTTTCAATGAATTAAATCTTTTTTAACCAACATGCCTTAGTGATAAATGTCCACATACAACAAAGCCCTAGCCCTTGACTCTGAAAGAGTAAATGACTGAGCCTGCACCTCATGGCCTTGATATTAGTCTTTCCCTTTCTAGCATTGGCTAGGGACCCCTTTTCAGAGCAGAGGGAGACCATGGAAGGATCAAAGAACTAAATATGGCTTCATCATGAAGAAGGTAGGACTTGAAGAAGGGATATAATTTACGGATTAAGAGGGTAGAATAGCAAGGAAAGTAGATTAAATGAAGAAATAAGTTGTAAATCAGTGTTGAGTGTTCATGGGAAAATGGGCTGATGGAAGTTGAAGTTATATGTTGTAAAGTTGGAGGAGATATCAAATGAGACATTGTATCTTGAAAGTCAGGCCGAGGTGGTTAGAGTTGATACAGTAGGACATAGGGAGCCATAGGAGATTTTTCAACATGGAGAGAGTATAAAATGAGGAACACAGACTAGCTGAACTCTATGATAGTTTCAATAGTCAGCGGTTCTATGAAAAATGGAGTATTTGAGGAAAATTTATCTGCCAGCTGCACACAGGCATATTGCTTGATAGGGTAGGATTAGGAACACCAGGAAGGAGGCTTTGGATGAGAGTAGAAGCAGTGGAATGAGACAAAGGAAGGGTTTATGATATTTTTCTCAAAACCTACTTGTACTTCTCTGTTTCTGTTAGTATTGCCACCACTTAATAGTTTACTTCCCACATTTGAAATCCTTGGGGTTATTTCTGAGTCTTTCTTCTCTATCCTCTCTTGTATCCAATCACTGCCCGAGAGCTTGGTCTTCAAAATCCCTCTCACATATTTTCTCATCTCTCTATTCCCACTACCCTAACATAAATACAGGTGTTCATTATCTCTTTTCTAGGCCATTTCAGTGGTTACTTAACAGGCATACTTGGCTTTACTCTCTCCACCTTCCCGTCCATCCTCCATACCTCTGTCAGATTATGCAAAGGTCCTTACGCTTACAGCTAACCAGGTCACTTCCTCTGCTCAAAATCCTTTGTTGCTTCCAGATTTAAAAAAGTAGGATCCCATGAATTGGAATTCTATGGGGGCAGCCAGCCCAAAAGGGATGTGGGCAAATTTTCTTTTTTAGTTTTATTTTGGCTGTTGTCATTTATTGGTTTATATTTTTTAATCCATTTGTATTGATATCATTTGTTTTTACATCACCTAAATTTCCTTTGCTATTTCTCCCCCTCCCTGAAAGCCATTCCTACTACCAAAGAATAAAAAAGAGGGGAAAAAATAGTTCAGCAAAACTAACCAACAAAATGAAGATGTCTGATGTAATGTGCAGTCTTCCATACCCATAGTCCCTCATATTTATAAAGATATGAAGAAAAGTGTATGCTTATATTTCTTCCTTGGGATCAAATTTGGTTATTATAATTTCCATAGCATTCATTTTTGATTATTTTGTATCATTGTTTTTTACATTGTTGTATTCCAAAGTCACTAATGATCTCTCAATTGCCAAATTTCATAGTCTTCTCGGTCTTCATCCTTCTGGACCTGAAATCAACTTTGACACTATTGACTATCCTCTTCTTCTGGATACTTTAGGTTTTTCTGACATTACTGTCTCCTGGTTCTTCTTCAATCTGACCTCCTTCTGAGTTTATTTTGCTAGATCTTCCTCCAGATCATTTCCACTATCTGTGGGTAACCTCCAGGGCTCTGTTCTGTGCCTTCTTCTTTTCTTCGTCTTTACTGTTTCACTCAGTGATCTCAGTAGCTCCCATGGATTCTCTATATAGATGATCCCCAAATTTCTATATGCAGCCCTAACCTTTCTCTTGAGCTCCAGGCCCACATCCCCACCCAACTTTTAGATATCTCAAAACTAAAATCCTGTAAGCATCTTAAGCTCAATACATCTGAAACAGAATTCATTATCCTTTCCTTCAATCCCTTAACACTTCCAAACTTTCCCATTATTGTTGAGGGCTTACCATCCCCCTTGTCATCCAGACCTGCAACTTTGACATCATCCTTGACTCTTCTCTTGCACTCACTCCACATATCCAATCTGTAGCGAAGTGTGATTGTTTTTACTTTGACAATATCTCTCATTATGTCCCCTTTCTACTAACACAGCTGTCAGTCTAGTACAGGCTCTCATTGCCTCATGTGGAGGCTATTGCAATAACCATCTAATTGGTTTGATGGCATGGTGTCTCCTCACTCGATTCCAATCTCTACAGAGCTGTCAAGATGATTTTCCCAAAGCACAGGTCTGACTATGTTATCCTCTTACTCAATAAATCCCAGGGGCTCCCTATTACTCCAGAATCGAATAGAAAGTGTTCTATTCAACCTTTAAGTCCATTCATAACCTGGTACTCTCCTATCTTTTTAGTCTTTTTACATTTTACT